TCTGGGGGTGGCCGGTTTCCCCGTATCCGACGTTAGTATACAACCGCGAACTTTGAACCCAGCGAATTATCGACAGGGTAGCTTGAAGTTCCCTGAAACATCCAATGCATCAAGTAGACTTCAGTAACTTGTTTTGGCTGTTAAAACAGCGTTTGATTTCATCGTGAATTCGTCACTGAACTCATTCCCCATCAGCATCGCCGTCCTATAAGCATTTTCCGGTTCCCATTGCTGTTTGCTTCGTGTTAACATGAGCTGATTGAACTCTCCCTGCCAAGCTTGATGGCCGGGGTCTGCCTCGAAGCCATTGGTCCGGCTCAAACTATTGGCCTTTAGCCTTGTAAAGCGCCTTATCGGTCGCGGGCCATTGGATGCATCTTCAGCCACAAACCTTCGCACTGCAGCAGCCAGGGACAGATATTCGTATTTGTTCGCTTCTGCATTTTAGGTTAGGCCCGATATGGTACAAAGGACATGGAAATGCGGACGCAAGGAGTGAGATGAGTGTCATCGAGCATGATGCCAGACACAAGACATCTGCTCTCCAGTTTCCTACTGTTATAAAGTCATCAGACGTTGCGCCCTTGAGATTGTTTCTAATTCTCACGGGGCGTGTTGGCCCTCATCGTGGCCAACGACGTAAGCGCTAGACCTTGTAAACACCACCATGGCTGAGACATGACTTACTGAGGTCGGCAAGACTCTCACTTAGGCTCCTTACCAGCAGCATTCTCTCGGCAGTGAATGCGACCGCGCATTGTACCACTCAGACACTCACTGCTTCAACTGAGACTTCAGCTGCTGTTCCTGGGCGCACACGCCGACATTGACACCGACTGTGACGGAGCAACTCCCTCTCATGACGTAGGAATATGCGTCACTACTAATCGCAGCGCTCCCTAATGGACCAACACTCAGCTGTCAGGCTCTGACTAAAGGAGTAAACCCGTGCTAGAGACATATCTTATATCCGTGGCCAATTTGTTCTTGTATCACTCCTCACTCTCTACTCAGGAATCAATATATATGAAATAGAGTGGCGTCCACATCGTTGTTGCTTTCAATTTGTGACGATCTGTAAGTTGTGACTTGTGGTCCAATCTCGATTGCATTACGCTAAGGACTCCAGCCAGTGGCTATATGTTGAATTTACAAAACCAAATCATCAGCCCAATATTTTAATGGTGTCTCAGATACTCCGTCCGATATGTACGACGTCTTTATTCACAGGAGATTTGAAGCTCTAAGAGAAGAACAAAGACACTTATTATCGCAGGCCTCCAATACGCTTTGCCGTGAACAACATAACTAAGAAGACCAAGCAGATAACGCTTGAATGAGAAATACTTACTCTTTGTGCTTGTGTGCTGAGCTATCCATCTCATAAAAGGATAGCTGTACTAGGGGGCATTGACTATGCTCCGTCGGGAGGCAATATTTCTTACTCCAAATATATGACTTACATCACGCATTCCTTAATAACAATTCACAGACTTTTCCACTGCCTGTCGGTAAACGGCTATTCAATGCCGTAACGCATCACAACTACACGGGCAGCAAACAGCACAGTGAGGATTGTTTGAGCAAATTTCTGACAGAAGACAATTATAAATAGAATAGCCCTCTACAAACATCTCCATCAGTTTGTACCAAACCCTGAGAATAAAACAAATACGAACACAACCTTTTCAACTCGAAAAAGACGCAAGAATATTCAAGGAAGCACTATGGCGGACTCCGGACCCATCAGCTGGATCAGATCGACTGACGTACATGAAAAAGTGATATTCTGGAAGTGCATGCAGTATCAAGGGGAGGCCAATTATTGTGGGAACTACAACAGTATAAAGCTCAAACAGTGCCCAAAATGCCAGTCTAGACGCGACGCTGGTGATGAAGCGGTCAATAATGTGGGGGCAATCATAGGAGTTCTTGAGTATGTTGAAAATAAGACTGGTGTAGAGCATTGGCGTTACGACTCAGAGAAGATCTAGGATCCTCGGGCAAATAAATAGGTTTTGATAGACCACAAGGAAAGCTAGGCTTCCATTTATAACATTACAACAAATGAAATTGTCGAGCTAACATTGAAAGGCATGCGAATTATAAGATAACACGCTGTTCCTAATTTAAACACCAGAACTATTGGTAATATTTAATGGAGTTGAAGAGCCAGTACGACTCTTTGAAAGCCTCAGGATGGTTAGTGACATAGTCATCACAGGTCTTAGATCCAGTAGAAGCCTTGCACTCTTCATTCCAAGTGCCTTGATCGATGTTGTCTCCACAGAATGCAGTGTTGATAATCTATCTGGATTAGCATATGACTGTATGTTTCTACTGGTAGACTTACGATGGTCTGGCCCTTGAAATACTTTCCAACATTACAACCAGAACCGCTGAGGAACTGCGAAGCAGGGGTGCGCCATTTGCTGGGATCGGGGTTTCCGGACTTGATATCGGCGGGGATGCTTTGGCGGTTGAACCAGTAGATCTTCAGAGCATCTGACTCGAGCCAGACAGCGTAGACACCTCCTTTGCCCTTGTTGAAGGCTGACCCATATGAACCAGAGGCGTGGGTGCTGCCGCAACCGTCGCTGAGAACAGAAGTTAGCTTATTATGATGTATTATGCCATGATGCACTGACTAGTTCGTGCCGTCCTCGCATTGCTCAGACTCAGTTCCGCCGTTGTTGCAGTTAGGGCGCTCGTCAAGGCCGCCGATCTTGGTGAACTTGCAAGCACCACATGTATGCAACGAGACCACGTTTTGGCTTTGGTCGTTGATTCCTTCGATGATGTCAATCTCCCCGACTGGGTCCTCGTCAAAGTTGTACGACCAGCTGCGACAAATGTTAGCTTATCAGGCCCGGCGAAGATATCCAAAGATACGGAACTCACAAGGATGGCCAAACACCACAAGAAGTACCAGGCATGTGCTCAATGTCGGCAATCAGAAGGCCATTACCATACGTAGCCTTGGACTCCAGTCGGACACTGTCTCTGCCATGTCTGGTCTTGCTTGAGCCAAGAAGCTTGGCCTTGTTCACTGAGTCAACACCGACGTAAACTTGGCCGTTGGTTGTTTTGGCCAGACCAGCAGACTGAGCTTTGCTTTTGCTCAAGTAGTTGACTGATCCGTGAGTGGGATCACCTCCGTAGGAAGGGTCGATGCTATCATAGTAGGCAGCCTATCTTGTCAGAGTTGTCCGGTTGATTGTGAGGTCAAGAACATACATCTCTGAAGTAAAATTGATCAAAGAAGTTGCTAGAGTCGTAAGTGGTCTTGAGCGAGAACTTGCGCGTAGCCCGGGCACAAGAGGCACGGGCAGAGGTCACCACCACCAATAGCGTGAACAAAGATGAATGCATATTGAGTCTTGTGAAGAGAAAGAAGTGCAGTTGGCGATGAATCAAGATCGTCGCTGGGATAGTTCAGCTTTACATACCAAACGCCTTAGCTGAAAGGATCACCGCACGGCCCGATCCTCAGTTCACCGCGGTTCAAACCTACCTCCGCCATTCGCTGCTTCGCATCGGAAACTATGCTCGAGACAAGCGTATTCCCAAGCGCCATCCTTCGCTATACACGTGCCTTGGTTGTCACTAACAGCCCCGCGAGCAAGGGTTATTAGTGCTTAGACTAACGGGGCTGAGTGGTCCTTTGGAAAATGAGCAAATTGATTCGGGGCAGTGCCAGTCATACGACGTGAGGCCATTATGTTCCTTCAGAATGCTAGGACTTGAAGGATTGTTCGAGACCGACAGACCTCATGATTCTATGGTAAAAGCACGGAATGCGTTGCACGATGTGATACAAGATGCTTAACCGGTATAGCCAGCCAGTCGCGATGAACTTGTGGCCGACGTATGTGCATGCATTGCAGAAGAACGGTTCAATTCCAGCCTGATCTGGTTCCTGGTTCGGCCCTACTAGATCCGGGATTGTTTGTGGTTGCGTAGGGCTAGCTTGGACGGGAGACCTGGGCTAAACATTGAACGGAATGGTCTAGACGAACTCAAGGTTAACGTTGCATATTCCTACGCATCAATAAGGCTCAGCATAAGTTCCTAGGGTGCCCAGCAGTACACGATATGGGATTGATTGTGGATGATCTAATTCGAATACGACTCAAGAGGCCTTCAAATGAGCGTATGAGAGAAAATTCCAAATAAAGGGTACGGAATGATCATTGGATAGAACCTAATGACAGATCCGATAAGAATACGGACAAGAACCGTTAGAAAACATGACTTGGTGCTTGGCAAAAAGATGGTGCCCGTCTTGGCGAGATCAAAGTGCCGAAGGACAAAAAACGTGGTTCCGCCCGGGATCGAACCGGGGACCTTCTCGGTGTTAACGAGATGCCATAACCAACTAGACCACGGAACCTAGCTGTTGTGCTGGAAGATTGAGTGGGAGTAAAGTCTCAGGAGCCTCAAACAGAACGACGCGCTCCGAAGAGATAAGCAGCTTAAAATTCGCGTAGAGCAGCCATGAACACCGGCTTACCTACTCCGTACGGATATTCATTGTTCGAATGGAGGAACGGGATTGGCTGGGGGTGCTTCGTCTCACTCGACGGGCTTTGTATTTGAGTGACGCGTCATTGTCAACTCCAGTCTGCAGCGGAATTCCGGGTCGCGTGATACCGTGAGATAACTCCAGGGATCTATCCTACCCTGGAGCTGTTCAAGTGGTTGACAAGTCAGAGCGATCTTGAGAAGCAGGGACATTATTTACAGGCCAGAATAAATTTATTCTTCAGCATTCTTTATCTGAACATTACATCGCTGTTATCCTGGCTTTATGTTGAGTTAAATCTCTGATGTTGTTACTGTTTTAGAGTACGTAGTACTATAGACGTCAGTATTGGGAATAAACAGCCGACCCCAGAGCAGTTTATTCACCCCGACATCTGTTGGGCCAAACCGTATCGCCATATCCTAACTCCGGGACATTGGTAAGATTAGATACTACGTAAAAGATCTCCATTTCACACCCTCGAATCTAGATACGAGAGATCTACCCTGGTGCTTAACAAGCGGATCATGCGATAAGCAACAGGAGTTCACGAGTCATCAAGCTCCGTCTCTAGGGAGAAGAGCTGGGTTAGGCGAATTTTGTGCCTTGGGACCGAGGGATTGCTAAGCTGAAACCGGATTTCGGGAAAAGTCATGACGCAACTCCGTGGCAAAAGAAATTTTAGCAAATCTCTCAGCCAATGACACTATTTTCGCAAAGTTTTCGTACAAATGTCCATGGAGTTTCCGCGGAGAGCGTCCTGACGGACTCAATCAGCTCTCCGAAACAGTCAAATTACGTAGAAAATGTGCACCATCGAATCCAAAATGTGACCTCTTGCATCTGAATAGTAAAGTTTACGACGTAGACATTGTAAACTCGTGCAGTTTCCGACTGTAACCAGTCCAAAGTAAAAAAATATCCGTATCAAGGGCCGGGGTTTATATGCTTACGGCCGAAACCCTGTGCCGGGTCCGACAAGCTAAGAGGTGATGGGCCGAGGCATAACCATAACGAGATGAAGGAGTAACCCAGAAGGTTCTAGTTTCTCGCTTGGTGATATCATCCCTTGCCGGATTTAACGTACGGACCCAGTCACCACGAGAAGCCCAAACCTGTACGGGGACTTACGGCCGTTCGGCGGATCCGACGAATCCATGCCATGGAATTGGAGAGATTTGAACCCCTTAGTCGTTAGTCGTGTTCGTTACGTCGTTGATTAATAAAAACTCTACCGTTTTGATGTGGAACCTTCCCTTGTCTTTGTTTATAAACTGCCTTGGCTCCCCGAGTCACCGATGATCGACATAGATCTTGTCTCTCACACCACAGATCGCAATAACACTAACTGACGCGGAACACCAAACGTTAATTCCACAGCCTCGATCGGTAGTTAGATTACAACAATAACGATGAGCGACTCGGAAAACATCGAAGTCCCTGCGCGGACAAGAATACCCTACTGGCGATTAGTCGCTGACCAGGCTGGCATCACACCAGAGGTTAGAGATTACAAGTACGATGGCTCAGGTACTGAGGAAGACCCCTACCGTGTGAAATGGATTCCCAACGACCCCCGAAACCCCATGGGCTTCAGCTTGGTCAAGAAGTGGTTCATCACCTTGACCGTCGCTCTCACAACCCTTGCTGTCGCGCTTGTGTCGTCGGCTTACACAGGCGGTATCCGTGAGATCATCATGGAATTCCACATCAGCCAAGAGGTGGCTACCCTGGGTGTGTCACTCTTCGTCCTGGGTTTCGCAATTGGTCCCCTTCTCTGGGCCCCTCTCAGTGAGATGTTCGGTCGTCAATACCTCTTCATCGGTACCTATGCCGCCCTCACTGCCTTCAACTCTGGCTGCGCGGGCGCACAGAACGCCCAGACCCTGATTGTCCTCCGCTTCTTCGCTGGCGCTTTCGGCTCGTCGCCTCTCACCAACGCCGGCGGTACCATCGCCGATATGTTCCCTGCCTCTCAGCGTGGTCTCGCCATGGCCATCTTCGCTGCTGCCCCCTTCCTCGGACCCGTCCTTGGTCCCATCATTGGAGGTTTTCTCGGTATGAACGCTGGTTGGCGCTGGGTCATGGGTTTCCTCGGCGCCTTATCTGGTGCTCTCTGGATTGTCGGTACCCTTTTAGTCCCCGAGACATACGCCCCCGTCCTTCTCCGACGACGTGCCTCCAAGCTCTCCAAGATCACAGGACATGTCTACGTTAGTCAGATTGACTTCGAGCGCGGTAAGATTACTCTTACCGAGTCTTTCAAGACCGCCCTGTCGAGACCTTGGGTCTTGCTCTTCAAGGAGCCTATTGTCCTTCTCCTCTCCATCTACATGGCTATCGTTTACGGTACCCTATACATGCTCTTCGGTGCTTTCCCCATTGTGTACCAGCAGAACCGCGGCTGGAACTCTGGTGTTGGTGGCCTGGCCTTCCTTGGCATCATGGTCGGCATGCTCTTAGCTATCGCATACACCATCCCCCAGAACAAGCGCTACATCAAGATCGAGCAGAAGAACGGTGGCTTCGCACCTCCCGAGGCTCGTCTCACCGCCTGTCTTATCGGCTCCGTCTGTCTGCCTATTGGCCTTTTCTGGTTCGCCTGGACCAACGATCCCAGCATCCACTGGATGGCCAGTATCGCTGCTGGTGTCCCCTTCGGATTCGGCATGGTTCTTGTCTTCCTCAGTGTTATGAACTATCTCATTGACTCCTACACCATCTTCGCCGCCTCCGTCCTAGCTGCTAACTCGGTTCTCCGATCTCTCTTCGGTGCCGCATTCCCTCTCTTCACATCTTACATGTACAAAGACCTCGGCATCCACTGGGCATCTTCAGTCCCTGCTTTCCTCGCTTTGGCTTGCGTTCCCTTCCCTTTCCTCTTTTACAAGTACGGCGCTTCCATTCGTGAGAAGTGCAAGTTCGCCGCTCAATCCGCTGCTTTCATGCGCAAGCTTCAAAACGACGCTGCTCCCTCATCCGAAGAGGAGAAAAATGACGAGACTGTTCCCGAGGAGGAGAACTTTGACGACGATGCCTCAACTGAGGTTGAGGAGCCTGCCTACGCTCCCATCACTGCTAGCAGAACAAACCACTCTGTGCGATCGCATGCTTCTCGTGCATCGCGCGCGTCGCGGGCTTCAATGGCCTCGCGTCGTAGGTCGTACGAGGGCAACCCTTACGACATCGACAGAGTCAACACCAAGCAATCATTCACATAAGCATCTCATAAAAGTTATTACTGGGGCTGGAAACCCGAAATTAATAGGTGGCCTCATAGCGTTTAATTTTACTATAGACTTTACTTCAATTTCCTTAATACCCAATTCATCTATCAATGCCATTCGTTGCAGTCAATTCTTGAGACCTTGTGATATTATCACCGTGACGTGAATGTTCGTGACAGGATGGGATTGTCGCTGGATCGCGTTCACCAATCGTCGCTCTGGTCACGGCTATGAGTCGTTGGACCCTGCGGTTCAATGCTTAATCTTGAACAAAGCCAATCAATCATAAACAGATTCTAGACTTTGCGCTTCAATGGAAAGCAGACGACCCTGTCACCATCCCATTTGCCATTTTGTGTCTACTACCCTCGAGATGTGATCCAATTCTTCGAGAAACAGCCAGGCCACCAACATAATTTCTTGCTGTTCCAGATGAGTCATCAAAAGCCTCGGTTCCGTGGTCTAGTTGGTTATGGCATCTCGTTAACACCGAGAAGGTCCCCGGTTCGATCCCGGGCGGAACCACGTTCTTTTTGGCCATCATTGCGCTTGATGCCCATTATTTTTGCTAAGCAGTTCCTCTACTTAAAGTCATTCATTATGAGACGCGTCACTTGGAAGCATTAGAAGTCTTCAGATGGTGGAAACATTCTTCTTTATCTACCACCTCGCTTTGATCCTGTATGTCTCCACCTCATCTCAACTTGGTTCTCCTTGACACTAACACTTATCGCTTTGCTGGGCCTCACTTGCTGCCTCACTACTGACTTCCTCCACCTTCACTGGCTTTGGTTTGATGAAAACAGCCGACACCAACATCAGTCCGCACAAAGCAGTGTAAAATGCCCACATAACACGTAGACCACTGACGTACCCATGCTTGTCTGTCTCACCCTGCGCCCTGTCACTAGACACAGCAGTCAAATTGCCACCGTGGACAGTACGCTGGATAAAGACCGTTCCAACAACAATTGATACCGAGATAAAAAGGCCACGCATGAAAGTGTACGCTGACATAGTCGCCGCCATATCTCTCTGGCGGACATGTGTTTGAAGAGCGATCATAGGGTTCTGGAAGAGTACACCGCAGCCGAGACCTGCGATAACCTCTGCTATGACTAACTTAGGCCACTCTTTGCGTTGACCGAGGCTAATGAAGAGACCGATTCCCAAAGTCATCAGCGCGGCGCCTACCAAGATGATAAGCTTGTAATTGCCAGTTTTTCCCACGATCAGTCCTCCAACACCAGTTGAGATAGACATCGGGAGGATCAGAGGGAAAAGCGTGACTCCGGATATGATTGGCGAAAAGCCCAGAACGACTTGAAAGTACAGCGGCAAGAAGTAATCGCAGGCAATGAAAATGAACGAGTGAAGGTTGGCGACAGCGAAGGCAGCAATGTTAGTGGTGCTCTGGAAGATCCTTATCGGAATGATGGGATTTTTGGCAAACTTCGCTTCCCAGACCATGAAGAGTGCCAATATGGTGACCCCAAAGACCAAGAGACAAATTACAAAAGCAGAGTTCCAGGGCGCAAGTCCACCTGAGCCAGCTTCAAGTCCGTAAAGGAAGCAAATGGTGCCACCGATGATGAAAGCAAAGCCAGGCCAGTCGAGGCTGCGAAGTCCGTCGACGAGAGGTACCTTCTCAATGTCGACGTTGAGCAAGAAGAACAGCCCAATCAGTGCGATACCCTCAAAGGGTAAGTTGATGTAGACTGGTCATATCAGCAACTCTCTCCTTAGGGGTATGCGGTGTTAACCTACAGCACCATCTCCATGTAACTGCCTGAGAGAAGACACCACCCAGTACGGGTCCAATGGCTCCAGCGACGCCGAACACTATTCCTGTTATGCCATAGTATTTGGCACGATCTTTTAGAGGAAATAAATCTCCGATCAGAATGGTTATTAGCACCATACATCCGCCACCTTAGTCCAGTTAGCGGGCTGAAATCGTTGTTTGACAGAGCGTGCTTACCTCCAAGACCTTGAACAGTCCTTCCTCCGATTAACATGCCACTTGAGTTCGCCAGAGCACAAATGAGACTCCCGGCCATGAAAAGACCAGTGGAAGCCATCATACTAATCTTGCGACCGACGATGTCAGACACCTTCGCCCATACAGGCGTCACCGCTGTCGTGGACAGGGTGTACGAGGATCCAATCCAGGCATATTCGCGAGCTGATACATGTAGTTCTTTACCAATAGTCGGAAGTGCCGTTGCCAAGATAGTAGTATCCAATGCACAGAGGAACAGTGTCAAACAAAGAGAAAGAACAACAAGACGCCGCTGAAGTGTCTTCATGGGCGGAGGCTCGTACGATGCACCCGTCTCAACGGGCTGGAGGCGCTCGCCGACAGAGTCTTTCTCGTTTGGCTGTGCATCTTGAGATGGCTGTGACTGTTGAGGCTCTGACATGATACGCGTGAGGTTGCAGCCGAGAAATCGATCGAACAGAAACCCGCGATTTTGTAAACAGGAGATTATTGAACGAACCACTTATTCGAGGATTAGGTTGCGTTGGTTCGGCTCGCTTTCGGTTCGGGATGTAGATTCCGGGAGGGTTCCATGATCTTCGTGGTAGCGTGCCGATGAGAACGGCAACTAGGGATTGTGCGATTGGCCCATGAGACAAGGAGAGAGGTAGGGAAGGTTAAATATTCTTATTTATTTATTTATTGTTCAAGGAGGCTGCGGGCGAGGAACGCTTTGAGTTGAGATGGACTGAGATCCCCATTTTCTTGGGGTTGTGTAGCACCGCGACGGGATTACAAAGCGCGATGCCACGAATACAACGGATGCTGCCTTGCAGTGGAATAATCTACTCTCTGACCGTGTCACTAAAAGCTTGTCGGAGATTCTAAATTGAGATAAATTACCTAAACTTGACAATGCTACTCTGAGGTAGATTTCGGATTGAAACCTCCAACTTAATTTGGACCGTTGGGTTACCCTTGTGAACTCAATCTGAGTGCTGAACTTTCAGTGCATGCAGTGCACTGTCTCGCCTGTCTCCAGTATATCTCCCTGCGGCTGGAACCAGCAGATATTGACACTCACCCGAGGCCATTCAATGTGCACGGCGGAGAAGTCGTGAATTAAGATGATTGCAACGCCTAAGCTTCCAAAGATTTAGATCTATTAGGCGGATTGCTCAAATTGGAAGACAGAAACCTCTCGCTAGGTAGGCTGACGCCTCGATGATGGCAATCTTTTGATGCCCGTCTGCATAATTCACTGTTCCACCATGTCGGATACCAGCAGTACGCCTACAAACTTTGCTCCGATGACCAACGTATTTCTCACCATCTCTCGGGCGACCAATTTCTTACAAATTTGGATGATAGAACTCACCCTATTCATGGCAAAATTGAAATCGCGACCGCGCGTATCAAGAGACTATGAACACAGCCAGCCGTGGCCCTGGGCTCGAGGGGCATACTGACGCTAAGGATTGCAGACTCACCAACCTCAGCAGCGCAAGCTTCTTGAGGTCTCTCAGAGGATGCAAGAAGAAGTGATTTCGGACGGCCGATACGATTAGATAACCATGAGACACCCTGAGGACAAATAACGCCTCAAGTTTGACCAGTATTTTACATCTGGCCACGAGTCAAATCGGCCAACCCCAGACTCAGCGACAAACCTACCCCTCGATTCGGTTCAGTAGTTGACCTTTTCCGAACCGAATCGAACCGAAGTTTAGCGACGACGCCTCCTCAACGACTCAAGAGTTCATCTCCAATGAAAGCGAGCACAATTGAACATGACCAAGTTAACCCAAGGCCTCGAACTTCGTGGGGGCTATCTAGTCTCTATTAGGAGACCCCAGAGTCAACCCCGCAAGAAAATATTCCTCTGATCTGAAGCCGCGAAGCTCTTCCGCGATTCGGAGATACCCAGACAATGCGGGGGACATGTTTTTAGTGCACTGTACCCCGGACGCTCACTGCGATAGCGCCCTGTGTCATGGTTATCTGCGGGGGATACAAATTGTTGACGACACCCTCGGTCCCGTCTCGCAGAGACGCAGAATCTCTGACTGAGCTCACGGCTTCATTCTGTGGTGTCAATTGAATCGGGCCTCATATTATTGCACTGGAAACTGAGTTGCGAGCTTGAAAGAGACTACGTCGTCAAGACCTTTCTACGTTCATCCTGACTTATCCTGAATATCCCAAAGCTGTCTCAATCCTTTCCATTCGTAAGGATCGCGGTACCAAGTTTTCTACCATTGCCTACCGACTAAGCCAAAATGGATACGGCATCACAAGAACAACCTCTCTCACCGAGACCGCCGCGATCAAAACGTGGCCGTTTATCACTAGCTTGCACACAATGTCGCAAGCGAAAAGTGCGATGCGACGCGACAACGCCCAAGTGTCGCAACTGTGTTCTCCGTGGCGACGAGTGTGAGACCTTTGATCCAAGAAGACCCAATGGTCCAGCTGTGCGCAAATGGCCACATAAGAACTCACAGAGCATATCTACAATATCGCCGATCCAGCGCCGGGCTTCAATTGCGACCGCAAGCCAACAGAGCTCTCCCGCGTCTTCGATCGTGGGGTCGCAACATGCAGGGAATAAAGAGAGGAACCCATCATGGATCGAGCGCGCATACCAGGAGAGTCAGAGCACGCCTGATAGTGGTACAGATGTGCACACGAATGACAGCCCTGACGTGGTTATGAACACTGATGAGTCGTCGCATCGCATCAAGGTCAGTCAGTATTCGGGCTTCGTCTCACAGCTGCATACTAATTGAGCTTGCGTGCAGTACATGGGCTCCAGTAGCCTACAATGCCTCACCCGTTTCATCGACCTCTTCCTCCAGCGACGCGGATTTGACCCAATTGGCAGACATTTCCGATGGGGAATGTGCTTCACAGAAGAATACGCTCTTCCATTAGTGCCAATCCTTCCAGATCTTCCCAGCATGTCAGTCATGGAGCCCTGTTTGAAGAAATACTTCAGTCGCACGCACCCTCTCATCCCCGTTCTCGATCATACCGCCTTCATATCCGACGTTCTGCGATTTTCCGAGATGCAGCAAACATCACCGACTGGGCTCCAAGGTGCTGTGACCTCAGTCGATGCGCCGGCCCTTGTCGCAGTCTACGCAGTATTGAGCATCGGAATGGACGACCACGAAGGCCAAATATCGCCAACGGCAACTGGATATCTTACTGGGGCCTATTCCCTAGTGAGCCACTTATTGAGCTTCCCATATATGAGCTCGGTACAAGCGCTTGTCTTACTCGCAATCGCAATGCGTGCAAGAGGTAATTAACCACTCAAATCCTCAGGCCATCCTCGCCCGACGTCTCACACGTTGAGATCCTTCTCATCCTTCTCATTAAATTCTCAGAATAGCGACGCTGACAATCTATACAGGGAAGGACGGCCAATGCTGGCACCTCCTCGGCCAAGCCATACGAATTGGTTACTCCATAGGCTTCCATCGCAAGATCGTCATATCCAATCCAAACGAGGATTCCAGCAACCAAGTCGACCGACAATTACATTCCCGGGTCTGGTGGGCATGCTATGCTTTGGAGAAGTCCATGCAATTGGAGACCGGTCGACCGAGCGCGATTGAGATTACCGATTGCGACCAACCATTGCCTGACAAAACCAGCGGCCTCGATCCCTGTTTCATCAGATGGGTGTCGCTCTCTTTATTGGTGGGTAAGATTAGTGAGCACATCTTTCAGCGCAGAGCAGAGACCGCTTTGGAGTTTCTGTCGGGCATCTCAGAGCTAGATCAGGCACTTGTGGACTGGCTTGACGAGGCATCGGAAGATGCGAAGGCGAACCAGAGCGCATCCAAAAGCTCGGAAGAGCGATCATTTGCTGTTTTTCTGTCTCTGCAATTCCATCAAGTAAGATTCTTCTGTAAAATCAACACTTCATTACTAACCTATATGGAACAGGCTCAAATTACTCTTCTACGAGCATCTCTCCTCTTCCCTGAAGCCTCTTTCAGTAACGAAGTGCAAAAACACGAGGCAAAGATTAGTACAACACGACTACTGCAAAGCCAAACAACCTGCGTGGAAGCTGCAAGGTCTATCATAACGCAAGTCGCAGAGTTTGCAGATTCCCAGCCGGAATTCCCACTGCTAACGCCTACGCCCACTTTCCTTGCTGCTACAACCCTCGCGCTGCAGACCTTCAAAAAGCCTCACAAGCGCATGGGCCGTAGTGACGGGGAGCTTGTACGCATCGCATCGGACTATGTGGCAGACTGTTATCGGAGAGTCGGGCAACACAGCGAATTCGTGAAAGGCGTGCTTGAATTGACGCGGCGGGTGAACCAAGTCTTGTCGGGCGATAATAGCTCTTCTGTTGATCAAACACAAAGACCTCCACAGCCAGACTTGCAGGCCACAAATAACGACCAGAGGATGCTATCACCAAATCAATTTGGTGAGGTCGGGACCGATTCATTCGTGTTTGATCCGTTGGAGTACTTCCAGGATCCCTTCCAGGCTATGCCTTTGGACCACTTCTGGGCTGTGATGGAGAGCGACTTTGCCACGATTGGAGATCAAGGGATGTGCTGAGATGGATGGCCAAAAGACTCCCCGAGTTCATCATGAACGTACCTGAGAATATTGTGACTTCAGACTAGATACCCTTCGCAGTAATGAATTGATGAGAGCGTCTGCTTTATATCCCCGTGGCAGCAGATCCAGCATAGGTGACTTGACAGAAGGAGGGAACGTATCAAAGAAAAGTAGTAGGTCGCCCACGGGTGCATGCCTGCTATAAAACTCCAGGTGATCGTCCTCGTCGGTTTCAATCCCATGCACACCGAGCCGAGCCGCTCGGACTCCATGATATGGGCTTACTGTGTAAGCTGATCATACGTGAGAGGTTCGGCAATTGCCTATCATCATTGGAAAGGCTGTCTGTTGACTTACAGGGGACACTCTTTGGGGGAACAATGGTTCCTTCTTGTAACAACTTATGATGCCCTTACCAAGGTTAGGTAAACTAGATCTTACTTTTGTACTAAGATCTAATAGGCTTACGACGATGTTCCTGATACTTATATCGCAGTAATGAAAGATTAGATTGGCATATCATTGTCGCAGATTACGGCTCGAGGCTCTTCCTCCGTCTTGGAATGCGCAAAGCACGATTCTCGCATTTATTCTCGACCAACGTTAAGCTACCATAAACACATATAAAGTAGCTCAAATACTAGAGTAATATCCCCAATGCTGTGCCCAAGGCAGGGAGACTCTTGGACCTCGCACCAGCAAGTTCCTCATGTACCAGACCATGTCGACGAGATGGAATCGCATGCAGAGCATAACGGGCACGCAAAACCAGCGAAGTCATACTGTATAGTTATGATCTGAAAATCAGACAGTAATGGTGACTGTAGGGTTCTTTACGTGGAATCATGT